CAGAGCTATTAAAGATCTCCATTGCACAGCGGGATTATCGCTCAAACTGACTGGTCTTATATATATCGTAAATCCTAGTTTAACCTACAGATTATTTGTTTAGCATGATCCTCAAGACGTGCTTTGTCTAAGGATTGTCTAAGGATCCCCTGGATTTCCCGATTCCTTTTCCTTTAATATGTATTTGTGATCGATAGGAATTAGATTTTTTTTTTATTTTTTAATGTTTGCATGCAGTTCAAATTATGCAATATGTTCATTGTTTGAATCCAATACTTTTTTTCTTCTCCTTGTTTTGTTAATGTGATTTTTAGTTTTTTTAGGAATCTGGCTATGGAAAGAGGTTTTCCTTTTTGTGCAGAAACGATAACTTCGGGAGGCAGGAATATGGCAGCATCAAATCGGAGTGAAGTTCTAAAAGGAAAATCTGTTTGTTGGAGTTTTTTTCCCTTTATGTAATAAGATTCTGACCTTGTTTGTAGACATATTGGTCACATATTGGTTAGGGTTGTTTTGTTTCCCCTTTATTTTAATTTACTGTATCTTAAGAGGATATGTCCTCATTTTAGGTGTTACTAATAGGCTTTGGCTTTGTAATCCTATCTCTAAAGTGTTGTTTGGTTTTAATATCCCATTAGGTGATAATCATATCCCATGTTCAAACAATGTTTAGTCTTCCATATTATTTCTATCTTTACGTAAGGATTATATACTCCATTCAAAAAGTGCTCAAAGACATGGACAATATGTGTGTGCGCCTAGAAGGAATAGGAAAATATGTTTAATTGAGTTGTCTGTGAATTGAATTGAAATGTCCAGCCACAGACAATTGTCACTAAAATAGGCTAATGTGCTAAGCTACGAACTAGGCACGAAGTGGAGTCTGAAGAATGGTTATTTTATTACATTAATTAACATGTGTAGAAAAACTAATTGTGCTCCATATAGATATTATATAATTATAAATGATGGGGAAAATAATCAATTTTAAAGTCATGAATGCGTGTTTCCCAATAAAGGATATAAGATTAAAATGATGAAAAAGAAATTATGTCATTTTGGTCTTGATTGTTAGCATTTTGACATTTTGAGGAAATAATGGGGAAATAATTGTTTTGAAAGTCAAGAAAGAGTGTTTCAAAATTTGAAACAACCTCATGTTTGGTTCACATGCAATATCACGTAACACGTTAGGTCACGCCAGTAGGCAGTAGCTATTGTCTGTGACCCGACACTTAATGCCTGGTTCACAGACAATTGTACTTAGCACATTAGGTCATTCAAGTGGTTATTGCCTGTGACCAGACACCTCTTGTTTGATTCACAGACAATTGCTCTTAACAAATTATGTCATTCCAGTGGGTATTGTCTGTGATTAGACATTTAATGTCTTGTTCAAAGACATTTTTACTAAGCACATTAGGTCGTTCTAGTGGCTATTGCTTGTGACCGACACTTAATGTCTGGTTCACAGACAATTGCACTTAGCACATTAAGTCATTCGAGTGGTTATTGCCTGTGACCACACAAATCTTGTTTGATTCACAGACAATTGCACTTAACAAATTATGTCATTCCAGTGGCTATTGTCTGTGATTAGACACTTAATGTCTTGTTCACAGACAATTTTACTTAGCACATTAGGTCGTTCCAGTGGCTATTGCTTGTGACCGACACTTGATGTCTGGTTCACAGACAATTTCACACAGTGCACAACATGTTAAATATTTCATAAAGGATTGAAATTTAGTCATTTCACTATACTGATGATAGTTGTTACATAGAGAAATCCATATAAACCACATCTAAACTAGCTCATGAACTGTCTAGTTACAGAACCTGACTAAGTTGTTACATAGACAATTTAGTGGAATTGTCTGTGAACCTGACATGAACTGTCTAGTTACAGACAATAACCACTTGAACGAAGTAATTTACTAAGTCAAAGTGTCTGTGAACATGATATGAAGTGTCTGGCCATAAGCAATAACCATGAGCTCATGTGCTAAGTGAAATTGTCTCTGAACCAGACATGAAATGTCTAGCCACAAACAATAGCCATTGGAATAGGCAAATGTGCTGATTGGAATTGTCTGTGAACGTGACATGAAGTGTCTGGTTACAAACAAAAGATACATATTTACAAAGTCTTTGAAAACAAATGCGAACTAATGTGATATACCATGTCATATATACTCCAACATCTCAATTCTCAATGCCAACTAATCTATAAAAACAAGCATTATCATTTACAACCCAAATGTCAACACATTCCAACATTCCAATGCCGACTAATCTAAGAGAAACTAATTTGAGATCATCTCATTGTATAAGATTAGATGAGCTCCACTTATGACTAAATTAGTTGTCATTCTTCATAAGACCATCATGTTCCCTTAGTCATGCCTTGTCAATTTCGAGGACCAATAAGTCTGTCAAACATCTTATTATTAATCTCATGATTGCAAAAATCATTTGAGATATAGAAATAGCAACATAGAGATGATGATTAATAACTAAGTACTCAAACAATAATTTACATAGCTAAAAGAAGAAATACAACTTAACAACATAACCACACAAACATTCAAATGTCTTGTGTACGCAAAGCAGTGTCACCACTACCATACTAGTTACAAAATATAAGTGAAACCTATACAAAGTATCTACACCATAGTTTCCCCGTGAAGATTTTCTGTGTAGGCTGCTCAGGCATTACAAAGTTTTAGGAATGGCTTATCAAGCTATAGGAATATACTCATCTACTACTTCCATTAACTTTAAAATATCCTTTTTCCCTACTGGAACCTAGTTGAGACATAATCTTCACATTGACTTCAGCAATTAGTAGCCCAGTTACCACCTGCACCATTTCATATTTCAACGCATAACTTATAAACATAGGTGAACTGGGGATGATAGGAGAGGTAAAGCAATAACTAGAAATATGATCTGAAACATTTTCATGATTATGATGCATAATGAGGAAGCAATATTAAACCAAGCAGGCACCTTTTGATAATAAATGGTCTTCTTTTTCCATAAGAAGTGGATTGAAAAAAACCATTCAAATAAGTGGAGACTCATTTACCATATAAAACCAACACATAATGCAGGTAACTGCAGAGCCAATAAATCTGGATTCTTGTGTCACTGCAGGAATAGCAGTGAGTCATTTCAACTTTAAAAACAAGTTCATTGAGTCATTTCAACAAACACATTATGAGCGTGAATGAAGTAGAGTATTTATCCTAAAATTTCAACAATTAACACTTCAAATCTCTTGCAATAAAAGAAATTAATCAACTATTTAAGGTTATAACATGCCCAATATACATAAAATCGGAACAAATATATAAAAAAACAAAGCACAAAAGAAAAAAAGGAAATGGATATTACCTCATGATTTGAAAAGAACGATCAATCATATAGATAAACGGATTATATATGAGAACTACATTAGGAGAAGGATTGAGAATGATTTAAATGTTACATGGGAGAATGATTGAAAATGAAAAAAAAAAAAAAGAGGAAGAAGGGAACAAGATGAGCGTTGGCAGAGAAAGGAACGAAGGAGGGAGTGACCAAGAGGGAGAGAGAGGGAAATGGGTAAAGATAAAAGTGGGGTGGTAAAAAAAGAAAGTATATATACTGTGTACAATTTGTGTACACTCTGTGTACCCCAAGCATAATTGAATATAATAATAAGCACAAACATAATGTGAGAACTAAATATACAGTTTATAAAAGAAAGAACTAAATTTACAATTTTTTTAGTGTTACGTGATAAAAGGTGTGTGATAGAGTTTAAGAAGTTTAGATTAGAAGAATAAGGGTGATATTTGTGGTCTCCATTTCAACTCAAAAATGGTTTTTAGTGTAAGTTTTTGTGTAGCATATAATGTTGGTTATAATCGTCATTGATTGTCTCAGCGATGGTCTTCAAAACCCTTCAATATAGCTTCCTGGGAAAGATTCTTGTACCGGTTTAGGAAACCTACGGAACAACCAACACAAATGATCAACAACATTTACTTTCGGTTCTCGGCGACACTAAAATTAAAGCTCGATATAAGTACAAAATGCTATGTTTGGTGTCGGTAATAACTAGTGCTAGCACTTTTCTCATTTTTTAATGTTAGCAGTTAGTGTCGCTTAAAATCAACGGTAAATCAAAAAAATTATTTAAAAAATTGTTTAGTACGGAGTATATTTTAGCCTTGCTTATAACGGACATAGGGGGTGTTTGGAACTGATTCTGCTTCTGCTTCTTTTTTAAAAGCAGAATCAGAATCAGTTTTCAGAAGCTGGTACCCCCCAGCTTCTAAAAAAACTGATTCTGAGAGTAAATTAGAGCTCCAGAAGTGCTTCTGGAATTTTACCCAAACACTCCAGCTTCTGTTTCTGCTCCCTGAAGGAGCAGAATCAGTTTTGAGAATCAGATCCAAACACCCCCATAAAGTATACATTATTTTTAAAAGGGATAAGGGTCAGATAGGACCTCGAACTCGAAAAAAAATGTCAAATAAGGTCATATTTAGGATGCTCTGTCCGGCCGACGCCATTTGGGGCGGTTCCAGATGCCATTTTTTGATGAATTTTTTTGAGCATCTTCCTCATTAAGTCTAGTTTACCCATACCAAATTTCAGCTAAAAATTCAACCGGGAAGGTAGTCAAATGATTTTTTGAAGATAATTGTGAAGTTAAACAACCCCGTACATTTCGGAAAATCATTTGACTACCTTCCCGGTTGCATTTTTAGGTGAAATTTGGTATGAGTAAACTAGACTTAATGAGGAAGATGCTCAAAAAATTTCATCAAAAAATTCCATCGGGAATCACCCCAAATGGCGTCGGCCGGACAGAGCATCCTAAATATGACCTTATTTGACATTTTTTTTCGAGTTCGAGGCCCTATCTGACTCTTATCCCTTTTTAAAAAAACATGTCCATCCAGAATAGTTTTAATCGAACAACAAATGAAAATACTACAATATAACCAACACAAATATTTTAAAGGTAAATTCCATGTGCTTATGTGTATCAATTATGAATTTACTTGAATTGAATTGAAATTAAATCCATTTCGTCAATCATGCAGATTGTTTTGAAATTAAATTGAATTGAATTTAGTTGAATTTGAATTAATGACGCAGATTGTTTTGTCCCTATCCGATTTCGTAATTCGGCAATGATCTTTCCTCACTTTGCAAGGTTTTATTTAATAAAACTAACGTTGCTGTTTTGGCCATTGTAATCTGTCGTGGTATGCTATTAGGTTAGGGATGGACTCGGGCCGGGCCAACCGGCCCGGAACCAGACCGGCCCGCTACTGTGCGGGCCCGAACCGGCCCGGTGAACCGGTTCGTGCCTCCCGGCCCGGTGGTATAGCGGTCCGGGCCCGGGCCTCCAGTTTAGTGAACCGGCCCGGCCGGGCCGGGCCCGGTTCGGGCCGGAATTTAATTTTTTTTTTGGGGAAATTTTTTTAAGTTTTGGGGTGGATTAGGTATTTTGGGCCATTTGAGGTGGTTTGGGATGGTTTGGGGTGGAGAGGGAGGGGTAGGGGGTTAAATAAGAGAAGAAGAAAAAAAAATTAAAAATCCGGGTGGCCCGGCCCGGCCCGGTCTGGCCCGGAACCGGACCCGGAACCGCCCACCACCGGTTCGGGCTCGGGCCTCATTTTTCTGAACCGAGGCCCGGCCGGGCCCGAACTGGTCCACCCCTATATTAGGTTATGGATATTATGATGCTAAAACCTTTCCTTTTATGTTTCCAATTACAATATATTCATTTTATTTTGAGATACATTTTGTTATGTTGTCAAAATCAGATCAAGAAGGTCAGCCCTATAAATGTTGGGTCAACCGGACAAACATTACTCCGTAGTTAATACGAAGTATACCGTATAACAGTTTTCTTCTATCTTATTCAGGCTTGTGCTTTTGGTTATGGTCCTATGGAACTTCTCGCCTGTCCCATGGCTGGAGTTCGCTGGGGAACATGACCAGAAGTTTGCGGTAACGGGGCTTCTCGCCTGTCCACCTTGTCCATGTCAAATATTGTGGGCAATATGGGGAGTTTAATTACTCCATCCCCAAATTAACTTCCACCTTTCTTACGTCAAAATAGTTTTTTTATCCTTTACCATATCACATCACATCCAACTACTTACCCCATTTGTTACCCCTTACCCATCTTATTAGCCCTACACATTTCGCACCCCTCTCTGCTGTGATATACTCCGTACTACGTATCAATTCTCTATAGAAGTTAAGCTGGGATCTTCAAATTTTAAATTTTAGAAGTAAATCATGCTTTGATAGTTGTGATTTTATATTATTTTTTTTAATTTTTTTTTAATTTTTTTTTTATTGTTAATTTTTTTTTTTTTGTAGTAGTGATTTTATATCCATTCAATGCACACAACAAAAAAAGTGTGATTATACCACCCATTTTACTAGAAAGATCTTGCTCCATACGATTGATTGCCCTACCCTTCGACTAGTGGCAGCCTGGCAGGGACATTTCAAGATGATTGCCGAATCACGTGGAACATATGCATATTCAAATTTCAGTGTAATACTGTAGTTCACTGTAATTGGGGGGCGACAAAAAGGAATTACATTAACTCAACAGTCACCAACTCACCATACTTGACTAATGCATCTTGATGCGTTGAATGGGGTAGGTTCAGTTTGCACAGTGATAAGTAAATCACAAAGGAATAGTCCCGAGGTTTTATTACCCTTTATCAGCACAACATAACAACTTATAATGACAGTATGGAGAAAATGAGAGTTCATATGCTTCCAGCAAAGAGGCCCCAAAGCCGCGAATGTTTCCAATGGAATCACACAACGAATAGATTGTTGCTAGATATTGTTCACTAAAAAGGGGAAAAACACCAAAGGCAAACAAAACTTGAGAAAGAACATGCACCTCAATCTCACGTCTGTTGAAAAACTATTGGCAGGACCTTATTATGCTCTTCAATGTTATCAGCAATTGAGAAAAAATTTGTTCAGTGAATTGATAAGGATGTAGCTTCAAAAATACTAATAATCTCAAGGCTTGAGCGCAAGGGCAACACCGAACCTGGGAGTTTTCTCCAAGGCCTTGGTGTCCAACTCACTTGAGATACTCAAAATCGACTTCGGAAAAACCTCATGCTGTAAGACAGCGCCCAGTTGCCCTTGATTGTTCAGCTTCAACTTCACATTTGTCAGCTCATCAATAGCACACGACCCACCAACTGTGATTGTGTTTTCATTAGTAGAAAACCTTCTCAAGATCTCCCCCACCACAGCAGCCTTCTTAGATGCATATGGATGGTGAGTATAAGAAGCTTTTATCGAGTCACCCTTGTCCCCCCTGTGCAAGAACGGAAGATTAAATCAGTAAAATAAGAAAACCAAGCCTCATTGGCAAAACCAAGGTCATATGCATCGGTCAGTATTGATGTAATCATGTAAATATTGGCATTTCAAATTCATGGGATAATAGGAGGATATGTTGATATAGATACCGGAAAAATTGGAATTGAAAAAAAAAACTTACATCTTGAAACGCTTTTCAGAGAAAATGTTTTGATATCATTCAATTTTCTTGACATTTTCCAAAACTTTTCCAAGATTTCATAGCTCTGTTTAGAACTTATACTAAGGAAAATGATTTTATTATGTTTGAATTTACCTTGGAAAAACGAAAGAAAATCAAATTTCATCAGAAATCTTTATAAGTTTACTTAAGTTTAGATATATTAGTCTTAACATAATAGAACTCAAAGAAGTATATAAATAATAGAGTACAAACACATATCTAAAACTAATTCATTGACTTTGTACCATTTTTCACTCCTAACTTCATAGTTCACACTATATTCCTTCTTATTTCTTCACCTAGAATTTTGCGGGCTGAAATTAGACCCTAAAGAACGCGAAAATGCGAGTGAAAGAAAATAGGGATGATGAGAATAAGAGAAACTTGGAACAAGAAAAAAGAACATAAACTCAATATACGTTATTTTGGTACTTGGCCATAGTTGTCATGGCGCATGGCGACATCCATGGCGCACAGGCCTTTTCCCATGGCGATGGCGCAAATATGGCGTCACCACGTGACAAAAAAAGAAAAAGAACTACAAAACGAATTATACACATTATAATTGATCAACCCAACCACCAAAACATGATAAAAAAAACTTGAATAACAACATTCTAACCAAAACATGTGAGTTAAAAGAGTTTGAAGTACTTCCAAAAAACATAATATTCAAAAAAAGTTTCATGTCTTGCAATTTGAACTATCACATTGATACTTCTTAAGCAAGTATTCAATTTAAGAAAGTGGCTTCCTGCTATATCTTAGTGTGTATAGTAATAGACTGTTTTACGAAAGTGGCTTCCTGCTACAATTAATAGGAGGGATTCCACCTCTCCCTCTCTGCGGGGTATAATTTTTTTTAACTAGCTCTTTTGTAAGCTTTGTGCCCTGTCCGTCTATCCCTCATCGCTCAGAGTCTTCTTATTTACTTCCGCCTGTCCCTTGGCGTGCGTCGGCAAGCTTAATACTTTTGGGAGACGAGATTATATACGTAGTACAAAGTATAATACTTTGGGTGGGTTCCAAAGTATCCTTCTAGATTATACAATACTCCGTATATTTTTGGTGTCTCTTGAGAGGATTATTAGATTATTTTAAGTATTCGTATGTATTACTTTGAGTGGATTCCAGCTAGATTCCATTTTTTAATTATTTATATTTAGTGGAGTTTTACTTTTCATATAAATTGATTTTTTTTGTTTCAACTTTCAAGTATAATCATATACTCCGTATATACTTTACTTTGGATTATATTAATATATCAAATAATGTTTAAATATTACTATTAGCAATTCTCTCTTGCATTCATCAATCAAAAAACTTGGAATTTTAGAATAAACAATTTGTGTGATGTCATTTTATTTCCATTATGTTATGACATTATTGTTAGATTAGTAACTAAATGTGTTATTTTGATTGAACTTTTATTTCTTATTAGTTATAAATTTTATATAATTCTTTTCCTATGCATTAAGATTTACGCCTTAACCTTACGTCTTAGTGTGCAATGAGACTTACGCAATACAGCTAGGGGAAAACACGCCTCAACTCCGCAATGCCCAATTTTGAACATAGGGAACATGTGCTGAAAGTGGTGCTGAAAGTGAAAACTCTACAAAAAATGACGTATTAAAGCCATGACTTCTGAATTTGAAGTTATGTTTTTGTGAATCATTACTTTATTTTGGCGAATCCTGGCTTTTTTATGCATTTGGTTCAATATGATGTTACATACATCATATTTGGTAATTATAGAATTGTATATGTGATTTTATCTAGGTAATGCGCTTCACCCGAGTCAGGCGAGCGTTTTTTTGCGCCTTGCGCCTCGGGCGCTGGAAGGCCCCTAGCGCTTCAAGTGCGCCTTTCGACTTTGACTACCTTGGTTGGCACTCAAACCCCGTGATGTTTTTTTTATTAAGGGAAGTTCACATTCCAGATTTTGTATTAAATATTTATATGAAGTTCACATTTTCAGGAATCATATATTCATATACTGTTTTGTATAAATTATAAGTGTATGAAGTATAAACTGAAGTTTTCTTCATTAATACAAAGCATTAAAGAGGGTAGTCAAACCTTTTGTAGTTGGAAGAAGTAAACGAGTCCCCTTTCGTTTCTGGTTCTGGCGTATGGCTTTGTGTCTTTATTTATACTTTTGTTAGTGTTGTTATTAGTATAATGGGCTAAAATATTAATTTTTTATTAGAGTTTTATTAAGGTTATGGCCTCGCATAATATTAGAGCACTTAGCAGGCCCAACAGCCCAAAAAATTACAAAGCAATACCGGCTCATCCGTTAAAAAACATCGCGCATCGCCATGGCGAAGGCGAGAGAATGGCGATGGCGAAAGAATGGCGCTGTCATGTGTATTTCCATCGCCACGACCTATTTCATGACGCAGAGGTGATTAGCGCGCCTCATGGCGCACGCGCCATTCTGCGCCATAAACAACCATGTACTTGGCCAAATTCATTTTTATTTTGGCATTTCTATAATACAAATAGTCAATCTAAACATATATGCATATATTAAAAACACCAATCATGTTTTATTTTACTTTGTTTTATCTGATGCAAATATAGCATAAGAAAGTAACTTCCCCTAATACTTAAATTCCTAGTTTCCTCCTTTCCTTGGCATTTTCCATATTTAAACGTAGCCTAAAGATATAACATTCCCTATTCGATATAAGAAACTACAGAAATTCTGGTGAGACTTTTGCGTTATTTGTCTTAGATAGACAGCACCATAGTTACATAAATCGCTAGCATAGCCACGATCTGCGTTCCGGATCGCGCGTTCCGGATCGCGGAACAGTAGCGCGCCGTACGCCTCTGGGTCGCGACTTCGGTACGGTGGTTTCTGGCCGTAGTTCGCCAATATCCCCCTACGCGGTACGATGTATCCCGCTGGCCGTTCGCACATATCCTCAACAGAAAGTCGGTTACTTCCTTCTTCCAAGCGATGCAGATCGGCGGCTTTGTTTTTCCCAAAAACGCGTTTATTGCTTCGAAGTTCAAAAGACGACTCAGCATTTCACTTTTACTTTTTTCTTTATTTAATCATTTAATATGCTCAGCAGTTCAAACGACTATTCAACAGGGTGTTACTCCAAAAGTTTGTTTTAAGTTATGCGTAGTACTTTGGAATTTTATCAAAAGTATACTTTGGAATTTTATCAAGGTTTGTTTGGTACACTTTACACTTCGTTTTTTGGTACACTTTCTACTTGAACTAATAGTATTTCAGTTTATGAAGTATATACATTTAAACTTATGATTGGAATATATTCAATTTATGAATTGAGAATAATTAGACTTTAGAATTTCGAATGTTACATTAATTGTCTAATATTATTAATAATATATTTATACTTTATAAATTGTATATGTTAATGGTACATTGTACCGTAATAAATAGTACACCGTACCGCGTACCGAAATAGCGTACCGAAGAAGCCTACCCCCCTACGTATCGGATTTTAGATATCCGCGATCCGCGATCCCGTTTTCGTGCCACGTTCCGGAACGTACCGCGATCCATGTGACTATGGACAGCACTGATGCATTATCGGTCATTATTAACTCACAAGATTAAGGCAGCACAAGAATCGGGTCCTGTTACACTGATACCAGCGCTGTACTTGGTCAGTTTGCCAGAAGAGGTTTCATAACCAGCTTCAGCACCTACAGCAAAGGTTGAAGTGCCAAATGTAACAGAAAGATCCACATTGGGTGACTGTTTTGGTGCAGACACAGCTGCTGCAAGGGTCGCATGGTGGTGGAAATACTCGAACTCCAGCTGCATAACATATTACAATCCCTCATAAAATGTTAGTTTTCAGAAATCGTGGGTACCTAATGCTTCAGTGATAGCTGAGTGCAAAAATGGTTTTGGACTAAAATAATTGTACCCCATCAAAGAGGTTAAAATTGAATAGAGGTATTGGAACAAAAAAAGTTTACATTAAGAAAACAGAAAAAAAATTATGGGAAATGTAAAGCAAGGCGCTTGAAATTGGTTGAGGAAGTGGATTGTATATGTAGTTTTTAAAGAATATACAATGGAAAAAGTAAATAAAATATAACTTTTTTTAAACTGTATACCCTATTTTTAATATGACCAAGTACCAACTCTATGTGCATAGTATTATTCACAAAAATGTAACAGTTGTTTAAGATTGTTGGTAATACTTGGTATCTTTTACCAATGCAACATAATACGTATGTGCATATACACGTGAGTGTAGAGTACTTTTTAGGGGTACATTTTTTCAATACGGGACTTATATTACTTATAATTTACAATAGTTGAGATATCATTCCTATTTATATCTGGCCCATGTTGGGACAAAAGTTTCAATAACAAAACATGGGTCATTCTAATGTAGAGCGTTCTTGTATAGAGATATTTACCTTTCCAGAATTATAATCAGGAAATTTCAGAGAGGCAATGGCCTTGGTTGATGGCAGAATGTTTGCAACAGTCAGAGTTGTTGAGATCTGCAAAAAGCAATGATGAGACCTTTTCAATTGACAAAGCAAGTTTGTTTGTGGAAGAATAAAAGTTGTTTTAGCTACCCACGTTTGACTCTGTATCAACTTTGACGTCAACTATAGCATTGTTATATCGGTATTGTGCTGCCACATCTCCGGTTGAGAGAGCTCCTTTTTTTACAGCAGTTGATGTTAGGGCCTACAACACACAATAGAAATACAACATTTATAAAAATTGACATCATCCATTGGATATGAATGTGTAAACAATCATATGTCTCTTCACTTTTCACTCAAATTATGGCAAAATCAAGGTCATTGTGTTACATAGAACATGGAGTAGAAAGTAGAGAGAAATACTGTGGTCACCCGAGCTCCATTGATAGAAGTTGACCAAAACTAAAGCTAAATGGCCTGATTTATACTCCCATCTCTATGTTTCAGCCACGGTTTACCGGCACCATTAGGGGCACATCATAAATCATGACTTAAAGGTCTCAACCTTTAAAGCTCTAAGTCTCTACAACAATATTTCATTCCTTACAGTATTTAAATAGTTTTAAAAAAAGTTCATAAATACTAAAATCAATTCAACCACATCCATTTTATAGAGCAAGAGTTTAATGCATGAATTAGAAATTAATATATTTTTATCATTCTTTTGATTTTAAATATGAACTAGATAAAGTCTTCATATGAAAATTGGTTCCACGTGTCTAAGTTATAAATGCCCATGTTCTTATATTACCGTATATATGTCAATCTCCCTATCATCATGGGACTTTTTGTGTCGCGAATATGGAGAGCAATTTTTTACAATAACGCTATATTTGAACTTTTGATTGAAATGAAATGATTATTTTTCTTCTTCAGTTCTAAACAAAATGCACCAACATGTAACATCTTGCAGACCTGTGCAACACTGCACTTGCTGTCCCGTAACAGGGAACGATTTTTTATGCCCCTGAGTGCTGTTGAAGTGATATGAGTATGCCAGTACATGAGAGTATGAGACTCATGGTTGTTATAGTCATCCCAAATTAATGGAACACTTGTCCACTAGGCCAGTTGAAATTAGGAACCCCCAGGCCCTGAACTCCTCAAGACCAACCCCAAATATTAGACCCCAAGGTATCACAATCACCCTACGTCAAAATAAAACATCATTGCCATTTTGGGGGTAATGGGGAGTGGACTCTTGAGGTGTTCTAGACCATAAGGACCTTTTCCTTATTAATGTGGGATGAGGTGGCCTGAAAACGTGAAGATATCCCATGATTGAACACAAACTAGTGATAATGAGTTTCAATTAAAAAGGCAGGCGAATAAAGTTGGCACAAATGAAATCGAAACACGTATTGAACCCTCCCAGAGCATAGGTTGTTAAACTATAATTAAAGCGTTCGAACCTAATACTAGTAAGATACCAAGGGAAGCAAACAAGATACCACCAGAAATCACGCTATCGATAGAAGTAACGAGATACAATTAATTCGTACCACGCCGCTGTCACTAATGGTCGATATAGATAGCTTCTGATCCGATACATAGTCCTTCGTTAGCAGATCTATGTCAATTGTCAATACGAGAATCAAATTCAAGTTCCGATATAGAAAAACTAACGCACAAAGCGTACATGAGCGTATTGATACGAGGGTGAGACAGGAAGAAAGCTACAAAAGTAGGATCTGAGATGAAGTTACCTTTGGCCTTCCTGCCAATACTGGAGTAAAGACCAGGTCCGATACTCATTTTCCCTCAGGCCGACGAGATCAACAGAAATGGAGAGACGAATGAGAGGCTCGGCGAGGTAGAACTCTGAATCTGGAAACTGGAGAACTGCGAAAAGCAATTCGTTCGTTTATAAGATGACAGGGCATAGTTTCTTACGGGCCACGAAAATCGAGTAGGAACCGGAAACGTGACGGATTTTGGTGGCGGAAGTATCTGTACCGTTGATTTAGTTAATCGTTTTTTGAGAAAAGTATAAATAAGTTGTTCAACTATTTGCAATTCTGCAATCAGCCACCTAAACTTGAAGAATAGTATAGGGGTGGGCACAGTCCGGGACGATCCGGGATTTGACTTATCCCGATCCGGTCGCGGTTTTATAACAACAGTCCGGTTCAATAGGGGATGAGTCTTTATCCCAGTGTTGTCCCATTTAAAACGGGACCGAGACAACCCGAGAAAAAACGGAACGGTTCGGGATGTCTCATAAAATATGCATTTGTGAAATGTGATATAAAAATAAGCATAACATCAATAATATAAAGATGTAACTTTTTTTTGCAAATTTAGCTTCCCAAAAAGTTAAGTAAAACCTTTAATTAACTATTTTTAATTTTGTCTTGTAATTTTTTTTTGTCCCCATAATCTTGTGTTTCTTCTAGTAGAATAGTAGCGCAAAATATTTTCATACTTTGTAGTACACTTGTAATTTTTCAATACCACATTAAATTAAATATCATATCTATAAAGACACTATATATATATATATTCTAGTAGTTATTTTGGAAAATATTAAATCTATAACTATACTATAATTTGGAGTAGTAGTTATTCCATCACAAATAGTATTACGCATGAAGTATATTCTTTTTTATTTAGGAGGTGCCAGCAATTCAAACAGTTGCAATGTATGGTAGTTGTTGCTAACTTGCTATTGGTGTTGCATGTAATGTGCAACAAATTGAATTGGTGTTGCAAAAAAAATGCAAGGATCTGAAATGCAAGAGAATTTCTTTTGTTGCCATTATTGTTGCAAATCAAGATTTGCAATGAAAATTCTATACTTTGCAATGGAATAAGAATAAGTGAACGTTTACTCAAAAGACAGAATCCGAATTGAACTAAAAAAAACTAGCAATTTAAACATTAAAAACCAATTGCGTAGGCTACAGATAAATGTAACAGTTTTTAAAGAGTATTGGCCGGCCATAGATGCAATCCAAAGAGCATATTTTCTTAACACATTATGCAAACACAAGTTTTCAATCTTTGAAAAGATTAGAGATGTCTTGCACGACTAAGTCTCCATGCGCCACACGTTTTCAAACACATTAATTGTGTAGGGATGTACTGCACGACTAAGTCTCCATGCGCCACACGTTCTCGTACGAAATGATAATCTATCTGGATATGCTTGCTACGCGCATGCTGAACAGGGTTTGCAGTCAAATATGAAGCAGAGATGTTATCACAAAAAAGCTTAACGGGAACAGTAACTGGAAAGCCAAGCTCATAGAGAACTGAACGAATATGCAATGTATCCTGAACTGTATATGCAACTGCACGATACTCGGCTTCTGTAGAGGACTTTGACACAGTGGGCTGCTTCTTGGACTTCCAAGAGACCAGGTTGGGACCCAAAAATACGGCAAAACCCGTCGTGGAGCGTGATGTATCTGGACAACCTGCCCAATCTGCATCTGAATAGGCAATAACACAGGTGGCTTTCATAGTCGGTTGAAGCCATAAACCGTGGTCAATAGTCCCCTGCAAGTATCTAAAAATACGCTTGACTGCAAAAAGATGAGTAGTACGAGGAGCATGCATAAATTGAGACACTAAATGCACAGCATAGGTAATATCAGGTCGTGTCAAAGTTAAATATTGTAACGCACCAACCATACTACGATACTCAGTGGCATCTGCTAGAAGCTCCCCATCAGTGAGGGATAAAGAAGTGCGAGTAGCCAGAGGAGTACGAACAGATTTAACAGTGTGGAGATGAAAACGAGAGAGAAGGTCAGACACATATTTATGCTGAGAAAGAAATAAGCCTTTAGCAGAACGTACAGCCTGGACTCCCAAGAAATAATGAAGATCTCCAAGATCTTTCATAGCAAAGTGTTTAGCAACAGTCTGAATAAAAGATGTAATAGCAGCAGAAGAATTTCCAGTAATAATTATGTCATCTACATATAATAATAAATAAATGACAGTATTATTCTGGCGGTAAATAAATAATGAATTATCAGACTTGCTGCACGTAAAATGATGAGACAACAGAAAACTACTAAAACGATGAAACCATGCCCGCGGGGCTTGCTTAAGGCCATAAATGGCTTTTCGCAATCTACATAGGTGATTAGGAAACAACGGATGAGTAAACCCCCGCGGCTGACGCATATAGACTTCCTCTGTGAGGTGACCATGCAAAAATGCATTTTTGACATCCAATTGACGAATGACCCACCCAAAAGAAATAGCTAATGTAAGGACAATATGAACAGTGGTGGGTTTAATGACAGGACTAAAAGTCTCAGAAAAATCTACACCTGCTTGTTGATTAAATCCTTGAGCTACCAACCGAGCTTTATGGCGCTCAATAGACCCATCTGAATTATATTTAGTCTTAAAAATCCACTTAGAGCCCACAATATTTTTAGAATTATCAAACGGAACTAAATCCCATGTATTATTAGAAATAAGAGCATTAAATTCCTCTGCCATCGCCGCACGCCATTTTAACTGTTTATTAGCCTCTGAAAAACATGTAGGATCAGCTGATAAAACAACAGTGTTTAAATTAAAAATGGTTTTTGGTTTAAAAATCCCCGACTTCGCCCTCGTCTGCATAGGATGAGTATTAACGGCGTTGTCGTGGCTAATAGGAGAAGAGGATGCGGCTTCCGTGATTATGACAGACGAGTGGTTGGAAACTGTGGTATCGGGTAAGGGAACGGAAACACTGGTTTCAGTCAAGGGGACAATGGGGTGGACGGATGTGGAACTGGGAGTTTGGGTAACGTCAGGGGAGGAGGTTATTGGGGAATGGCGTGAAGTGGCTGGTGTAATAGGATCGGCGATTGGCTGAGAAGTGGGAGATTGTGGTGCAGGCTGGGATGGGGGGTAGTTGTCGGCTGGGTGCAAGGGTGAGGATACTGCCGAAGTATAGGGAATGGGATTGACGGGAAGGGAAGCAGGTGGTGGAGAAGTGGTATTTGTGAGAGTGAGATCATCAACAAGAGGAGTAGTAGGAGAGGGAGTATGACCCGTAGAAGAAGTCAAAGTGGTGTAAGGAAAAATATTTTCATGAAAACGAACGTGTCTGCTAATATACACTTTGCCAGACTTGGGTTCCAAACAACGATATCCTTTAAAACCGGATGCATAACCAATAAAAACACATTGGACAGAACGTGGAGATAGTTTATTTGAAGGAGAGGCAGAAAAATTGGGATAACACGCACACCCAAAAACTCTTAAAAAACTATAGTCAGGGGGTTTTTGAAAAAGAATATCGTAAGGAGAAACACCACTAAGTAACGGAGTAGGAAGTCGATTAATAATATATGCAGCTGTAAAAATAGCATCAACCCAAAAAGTGCTAGGAATAGAGGCTGTAATAAGCATAGTTCTAGCGAATTCCAAAAGGTGGCGATGTTTGCGTTCAGCAACACCATTTTGTTGAGGGGTATGGGGGCAAGATTTTTGAAAATAAATGCCATGTGCATCAAAAAAACGCTGCATAGTAGAATTAACAAATTCACCCCCTCCATCACTTTGAAAAATTTTAATTTTAGAGTGAAACAAATTTTCAACTAAAGCTTTAAATAAACAAAATTGATGAAATACTTCACTTTTAGTGCGTAAGGGATATATCCAAGTAAATCTAGAAAAATCATCAATAAAACACACATAATATTTAAAACCTAAATTAGACAACACAGGAGATTGCCAAACATCAGAATGAATTAATTGTAATGGTGCAGAAGAAGTATGACTAGCATCCGAAAAAGGTAATCGTTGAGATTTACCCAAACGACAAGAAACACAATCATGTTCGAAATTAGAATGACCAGAAATAAGTTTTCTACGATGTAATAAGCGCAAAATAGTTTCACCACAATGACCTAGTCTACGGTGCCACACAGGGCCAGAAACAGTGATAGAAGCTAATGCTAAGGGTGCAGGCGGAGTGAGGCTGATAGGGTAAAGATGGCCATTATGACGCGCCTGAAGAAGAACCACCCCCGAAGTTTTGTCCTTTACAAAAAAATAATTTTTATCAAAAACAGCAACACAGTTGTTATCAGCACATAATTTTTGAATGGAAATTAAATTAAACTTAATTCGAGGCACATGAAAAACAGATTTTAATGTCAGCGGCCGACTAAGAGTATTTAAAGTAATATTTCCAATATTAGCAATAGGAAGCTTAGTACCGTTTGCAACACTAACAGTCATGGAGCCAGAATAAGAGGATTTATTTGACAAGATACCTTCAGATGAAGTCATGTGAGCAGAGGCACCAGAGTCCGGATACCACAAAACATCGTTGGATTCCCCAGTTGGAGCAACCAAAGCAGGTGCAGAAGGCTGTGAAAAACGAGACGGACAATGTATCGCAGAATGACCTGCAGAAAAACAAATCTGACACACAACTGGAGGAGGAACTGAACCAAGAATACCCTCAGCTGAAGGAAAACCTGCATAATGATAGTGAGTACCAGAAGTAGATTTAGCATTAATATTTAAAATGGACATGACAGATTTACCCGACTGAGCATTGTTTGGTCTCGGATGGTACACACCCCCTGCGGCTGAGCTTCCTGGTACGGCGGCAGCCCCTGGTGCGGTATAGGAAATCTGGCCGTCCCCTGGAACTAGCTGATATGTAGGCTGATGCTGGTTACGGCCTCTGCCGCGGCCCCCTCTGCCACGCGCGCCTCTGCCGCGGCCTCCTCTGCCGCGGTAAGCGTGCGGTTGGCCAGGTTGGCCCTGCTGCCCGGGACCCGTTTGTGCCCCAAAAGCTTGCTGCAAGTTGGTGGATTCCTGATGGCGCTGACGAAGGACACGTTGTTCCGCTTCAAGAAGTCTATGTTCAAGGATGTCCGGTGGAAATTCATCCGGGAACATGGATATAGTTCCCACTACAAACTCATACTCAGGGCCAAGTCCATACAAAGTACT